AAATCGCAATGTTTCCTCAGAGACCTGCAGCGAATCCAAAATAGATTCGCCAGTGAACCTTTAGGCCTTCAGGTCGAACTCAAATCCTAAACCCTAAAACCCCAAACCCTAAACCCTAAACTGAACACCCTTCTGGCGCAGGTGCTTCTGGGCGAGCTGAAAGGTGGCCTCAGCTTTGAGGCAAGCAGGGTCTATGGCTAGAGCCCCCCTTAGGTAGATAGAATATAGGGTTTAGGGTTTGGGGTTTGGGGTTTAGGGTTTTGGGTTTGGGGTTTAGGGTTTTGGGTTGAGGTTTAGGGTATAATCCCCCTTAAGTGTCTATTACCATTGGGGTAATATTAGGGATGCATTGGGGTTATATGGGGAGAAGGGAAAAGAAAATGGAAATTACCGTTTAGGGTTTAGGGTTCAGGCACCCAAAAACCTCCCTCGGAGGCTTTAGGGTTTAGGGTTTTGAGCTTCTACAGAGGGGTTTCCACAATAGACCATCTCATACACTCCTAGGATGTTATCATCCTTCCTTACCAGGGGGCAGCCAAACACGGGACTTCAAAAATGTTGGAATTCCTCAACCCCATAATACGCCCATATCTCCCTATATGCCCCCTATATAATTCCCTATCCCTAAGCCCTAAAGCCCTAGGGCATGGCGACGTCAGTTCTTGCGCAGGTGGCTCTGACGGCTGCTCAGCGCCTCTTAGGCCGGTGTTGCTTTGAGAGTCTTCAAAAAACTGAAGGTTCCCTTTAGGATATAGGGTTCAGGGTTTTATGCATTATCTAGGGTTTAGGGTTACCCGTTATTTCGGGTTTGGGGTCTTCAGGGTTTCGGGGTTAGAGGCTACATGCTATACTTGTCCTCGTGGGGACGCCTGACTGAAGGGGACCGTCAGTTTTGGAAACAACTTGATGTGCGTGAGCTAGAATCTAAACTCCTTAAAGGGGGATGTATAGGGGATTATAAAGGGAGTTTCACAGGGGTTATTAAGGGGGATACATGGTGGTTAGACTATAGCTGACGTTCAGAAGAGAAATCTGTTGTCTTCCCTGCAGCCATCGACTGCTTCATTTTGGACCGTCTGGGCAAGGACCTGGGCTTGAAAGTGGACTCCGGACCATGATGTGACATGGAAGCTTACTTTGGGTACGTTTAAAAGGGGTCATAGGGGTTAGATATAGGATTATGTAGGGCGATGTAGGGGAACATGGGGTCAAGATGATGTTGTTGGAAGGACTTCTCCTATGAGCTCTGCGTGGGCCAGAACGGAAGAGTCTGGTTGGTAGCCCCCACGGCCAGAGAGACCGTCCTCTTGCTGCAGGCTCTGCGTAGCGGTAGAGTCCAGGGTTTAGGGTTTACTACAGCGTTTGCTGTAAGCAGAGATCAGACAGTTTTCAACACGACAGCCTCTTTTCTTTGCATAGTACGACCCTCATTTTGGGGACCCTCAAAAGAGGGACTCATGGCTGTGAGAACTACCAGCATGGACTGCAGAAGACCCGCCACAGGCCATCAAAAGAAGCTTCGGCATGACGAATGTCCAGATAGAGGCTCGCTTTCAGGGCTTTAGGGCTTGGGGCTTTGAGGTGTAGGCTTTCCTGAACCCTACAGAATAAACATTGTTAGGGCAGAGTGGACACCCTTGAGAGGGGTACTCCTTGGGGTACAGGTAGGGTTTAGTTACGATTCAGGGCCCACGTTGGACCCAAAATATTTTCTTTCTTGGAATTGTTTAGTCGAAGCCTCATATGAAACCCTAGCATGGGAGGTCTTTTGAGCTGAGGCCAGGGTTTACGGTTGAAGGCCACGGGCAGTACAAGGGGCCTTCATGGGAGGATCCAGCCCAGTGGGCATGGTTCAGCATGAGGAATTCTGAACCCCAGGCAACCTTGTTCGGTTCCCGGACCCTAGTTACCCTCGTTAGTGCCTGGGAGCACATGAAGCTAAGTGGACTGAGGCTATGGTTGGAAAGATGGTCGAAGTCTTCTCGTGATCCTAAGCGAAGTCGCCTGATTTCTCATCGCGGCACCCGCGGCCACGCATGATGTGAGGACCCCGAGATGCCAGAGGTGTCCCGCAGAAAGCTGTGCCAGATGTATGCAATTCTGGGATCCAAAGAGCTTGATTCCCAGAGATGCGATTGTGGTCAGCTAGGCCTTGCAGGCACGTGAAGCTGAGCCGGACAACAAGTTGCACTTTCCTAGGAAGCTTTTGCGCTGAATGATGTCACTGTGTCAGAGTGAAGCAAGCATTTGCGAACCTAGATGTGCAATCGCCGCGTGTGCATGCTCAAAAGATAGCAAACCACGATGATCTTGGAAGCCATGCTGTTTGTGCAACTACAGCCATTTTTTAGCAGTATCATTACTATTACTATTGCTACTGTTATTATTGTTATTATTCTTACTAGTACTGATGTGAAATGGGAGTTTGAGGTTCGAAGCAGCAACTGGATAAGCACCCTCAACCCTAAACCCTAATCTCTCCAACATATTATGGCAATTTCCCTACTGCGCGCCTTACTTATATCTCAAAAAACATTAAACCCTCAACCCTAAACCCTAAACACGAAGCAAGCCCTAAGGTAGCCAGGATGCCATGGCAAAAAAGAAGAAGGGCTCGAGCAGCTCTGCCCGAGACGACTCCACTGCAGGCCCGGTTAGGGTTCAGGGATTTGGGGTTTAGAGTTGAGGGTTTAGGGTCTATGGATTTAGGGTGTAGGGTTTCGGGTTTAGGGGTTTAAGGGTTGGGGTTTAAGGTTTTGGGTTTAGGGGTTTTGCATTTAGGGTTTAGGTTTCAGGGATTTAGGGTTAAGGGGTTTAGGGGGTTCAGGGTTCGTGTTTTGGCTTCAGGGTTCTTGGCTGCAGGAACGCTAGGAATATTTCCAACATCGGACACATGAACAAAGGGGAATATTCTTAAGATTGGCCGTGTGGGTTCCGTGTGGGTCATATTATATCTACTACGAGTGCTGTATTTCGAATATCCCATTATTTCTATACTGGAAACATGTGGAATCTTGCGACTAATTCGAGTCTGGGGACGAGTCCGGAGTTGTTGATTATGTGAGATAGAAACAGCCTTGGGCGGTTGGCTGGGAGATATTGACAACAGGATCATTGGGAGTAGGACGAACGCTTAGAGCTTCAGACTGCAGGTAATTGAAGTGAATACTAAGAATCTGTTCTTCGGATGAGGAAGTTGGTCTGCCTTAATGTGCACTAGCTAGCAGATAACTGGTGCGCTTTGTCGGCATTTATCATTAGTGTGGTATTTGTTGGCGTCTATGTGGAGGCAATACATGAAAATTCGGCAGATGTTTACATGCCACAGCAATCGCCTCCCCAGAAAGCTTTAAGGGTTTTGGGGTTTTCGGGATTTAGGTTAGGGAATTAATTCGGGATTTAGGGATTTAGGGTTTTGGGATTTGGGGTCTTGAGTTTAGTGCTTGGGATTTGAGGTGACGCTGCGTAGTTTCGTTGTGGAATTCACGCTCCTTTTGAATTCAGGACCCAAGATATGTTTCCATTTTCTGGGAGGCAACAATACTCCTTTCATATTCATGTTGAAAAAGCACCCGCCCACCTGGAATTTCAAATATTCTCCACAAGAGGCCTTACATGTTGAGTGACATATTTGATATTCTACGGTTGGGGGGATACGGGTCCCTAATTCACTGGTCCAGCAACAGGCGACACATCACTTTGAGGGAGCCTAAGCCTCACATATCCTCCTCGCTTGTCATGAAGCTATGCCAAGAAAGAGATCCACGAATAGGGTTTAATTAGGTTCTAGTTCTGAGAAAGGTCCATATCAGACATGTGAATTTTGATGATTCTGGCTTTCACGGCTGGATCTGTCAGAGAGGTCGTGGCATGATGTAAGCCCCTGATGTCATCCAGAGGTCGGATCGATGCCTGCTTCTTCAAGCAGATTTGAACGGGGGTGTGCATTCATTTTCCTTTGTTGTGGAACCCACAATACATAGGAGTAGAAAGAGACTATTGGGTTTCCCGAGCCTTTTAATTATCCAACACTTTAAGCCCTGGACCCAATTCAAAACCCTACACTCCAAAATAGCCCAAACCCCAAACCCTACTGTATATGCTGAACACTAAACCTTAAGTCCTGAGCCCTTCCCTTCTAAGCTCTCGCCAGAAGAAGCGTCCCGCTGCAGGCTCGGGAGGGTATGCTGCAGTCGACGCAGCTGCTGTTGCTACGGCTGCATCCCATGATACCCTTGGCCAGGCCAGGTTTCTTAAGATAAGTTGTGGTACCCGGACTATGTAATGATGGGACTTTTGTTTAGGGTCTAGGGATTAGGGTTTACAGGGATTTGCTAGCCCTGAATAAGTGGGAAGCCAACTGAAAAGAACATAAAGAATGAAGTGCCAACGGTACCCCCCCAATCCTAGGATAAAAACCCTATCAGAGTCATATGATTGTTATAGCGTCGCTACTTTGGGGCTTGGTGTAGGGCAAAACATTGGTTACTTGTGAAACATGGGAAGAGTGAGATCGTGCGGAGTCATTCTTGTTTCTTTTGGCAAGTGCAGATAAGTGCGCTAGTTTCAGTCTACTTTGGTGTGACCATCAATACACATCCGACAAAGGGGACTTCAGTGGGAGTATTTTTTGAAGTCTACTATAGAAAACGGTGGAGAGCATTTTTGTAGTGAGCCTTGAAATGTGCGAAAGGCCTCTTCAAGATCCTGCCATGTTGTTGGATGTGTGTTGGCGACCTTTTGATATCGTCAGGCTAAACCCAGACCCCAATCCCCTAAACCCTGAATACCCAATTGCCTCCGAAGGGCAGAATGGGTCAAAACTTATGACCAGTATACTTGGAATTCCTATATTGCTAGCCATAAGTCCTTTCAGCCCTTCATAAGTCATAAGTGTCCACAAAGAAGGGGCCATAACGTTCACGCTTGGTAACCATGAGCCCAAGCCTAAGCCCCGAAACCCTAGACTCTAAAACCCACACCGCGCGGCTCTTTTTCAACAGGAGTCCTTTTTTTGTTTTCGTTATTGTCACCAGTGGGCACCGGATTACCATTACGATTACTCGTATTCTTACGACTAAGGCCTAAACCATACCCTAATCCCTCTAAACACTAAATCCTATACCTTAAACCCTAGCTCGTGCACATGAAGGCAGACTTCCTCATCCCAATAGTGCATTCTTAGTTGCAACTAAAAACGATTACCACCCTCAACTCCAAACCCTAAACCCCAAACCTTAAATCCTCAAACCCTGAACCCTTAAAGCCTAAACCCCAAACCCAACTATTACCATTCTACCATGCAGGTTCAGGCCTGGTTGCAGCGCCGGGGCGGGGTGGCAGATCCGTCAAAGATAACTCTGAGAGAGGTGCGGCTGTTGAGGGTTTGGGGTTTGGGGGTCTTGGATGTAGGGTTTGCGGTTTAAAGGGGGATATAGGGGATGTACAGACGGGGTAGATAGGGTTGAGGGTTTAGGGATGGAGGGCTTACGGTTAAGAAGTAAGGTTTACGCTTAAGAATGTCGGGTTTGGGGCTTAGGATGTAGGGCTTAGGGATTTTGGATGTCGGATTTCAGTGTGTACGATTAGGGATGGAGTGTTTAGGGTTTAGGGTTTCTGACATGTCATCGAAAGACAGGGGGTTTGAGAAGCGCGCGCTTTTCCTGTGACCGCCCAGCGTGGTAGAATTGTGAGGAATTGTGGCATCTCACAAGTACTCATACCATCAACGCCGTGACAACTCATGCTCAGGGGCCGCGTCACTGGTAACTGAGTGCTTGTAGTATAAGTTCCCCAGGTCTGATAAGCCGTAAGCATGCTAGCAAGTTGGGTATCTATCATGTAGCTGAAGCATGAGGTGGTCTAACTACAAGTGGCAAGCGGCTGAGTGCAGGCAAACGGAGACCGTAGCGTGGTGGCCGTGGCCGATCTGGCAAAAGGCTGGGCCTGCATGCTCCAGTTCTCCACATCCAACAGTAATCACTGGATTCGTCAGGCTTCGGGTTGGGGATGTTGGACCCCCTGATTATCATAGGACTCTTAGGCTGCCCTTATTATGATTTGGGGTTACCTAAGTTCTGTTAGCCCGCTTTCGAGAAATGCCCACTTTGCTGTGTTTTTCCTGGGAAGGCGAGACGCTGTTCCGAGTTCCTGCGTCCACGCCTCAACGCTTTATCCCCTCTGGATCTGCCTATTTGACGAACATTCTTTCAGCCTAGCACGTGCTAGTGTCCGAAACGATTACCAGTATTATGGTAGAGAGATTCCTTGTGTAACCATGGTATAGGATGCTTCAAATAGACCTCAATACGAGATGGGTGATTATTCATGCCCCTACATTAGACTCATTCTGCCTGTGAAGTTCAGTTCAGCGAGGCCTTTATGGTTTTCTGCTGAAGGCTTGTCCGCACACCAGGCAAGATGTTCTACAAGTTTCGGCGCTCCCGTAGTTGCACCCCGACGGATGTACCATGATGAAATATTCGGTATGAGAGACTACTCACGTGAATGGGACGAGTTTGATACATTAGGGGTAGGTGTGCTTGTGCAGCCATCACGCCAGATTTACCCGGGTTTGTACTGCTGTT